TGCCACTGCATTCCTTGTTTTATTTAACTTCATTTTTAACGTACAGGATTCTAAAATATTCATCCTTCTCTTTCTCTTAAACATATGGCCAATTTATTAGTGAAGAGAAGACACAATCTAATCATATCCCTCTTAGTTGCTGAAACAAATGAAGTTGCTTGGGAATATCATGTACCACTGTAGTCATTCTACCCAAACACACTGCACAATCTATTATTGTGGTGAGGATGACATTCATTTACAAATTAACATTAGAGTAACATCATCTCTAAGAAGTATGCCTATCAGAAAGTTGAGCATGATGGCATTATAGTTGAACACATCTAATTCATCACTGAGAAAATGAGTTTAGACAATTTTTAAAACTTCACATATTGCTAACTTTAGGTACATTCTTCTTTCCAGATCTAACCTAGAAAGTACAAATTCTGAGCGTTAACGGATTTAGTGGAAAATTTTAATGCATTTTTATGTCTTTCTCTAAAAATGTATGAGTAGTTCGGATAATATTCCTGTAAAACAACTTATACCAAATTGCAACTTTGGGGCAACTTATTGTTCTTGTATAGCTATAGAATAGTCTTGATTAAATTGAGATAGTGAAGGCATTGATTTATAACTAGAAAAACTGGCCAGAATTAAACAGCACAAAAAGAAAAACAAGAGGTACTTTTGTTTTACAAATGATGTGAAATGGTTATTCCAAAGTAAATTGTCATAAACTAGAATACAATATCTTGTTAGACATTCACACTCTTTCAGGCATAGCTACTTATTTGGCAGTTATTTTGTATTAAAAAGAAATACGCTGAAACATAAAATTAGAAGCAAAGCAAACTTAGTCTAAGAGTCTAAGGCCGAGTGTTTCCTGCTCCTGTGCCCTATCAAGACTGTGTCAATGGAGTAAGTTCAGGTGGAAATAGACTATTCCTCCCTCTCTCCCCTCACATTTTCTGTGGTGGTATTTTTTTAATAAACAGTTTCTACTCGATTAATCCAAATAGAACTATCTCAGCTCCAGAGCTAGAATCATATTCTCTTTTGATCACATGTTGGGAGAACGGGACAGCTTTGAACTTTATGGATACATAACCATTCCAAACACATTCCCAATATGCAATGTAATCTCTTTCCTTCCTCTTTAGTATCACAAAAGTGCCAGTAATGTCCTTTTTCACATTCTCATGGAAAAGTTTTAGAAGTTGGAACTGTCTCACCAGCTGCCATTTGAAGAACTGGCAACTTCTAATGGATGGTATTCCAAAATTTAACCAAGACTCATTATTCAAGAACAGTGAACATTGTTTTTAATAGTATAGCACAATTTGAAAGGGCTGTTTTAGTAGTGGCCATACTAAGTTTACTCACAAATCTGTGATACAAAATGATAGCAAAAAGATTGTGATTTTAATACCATATGAAATAATATTTCTGTCCCCTTTAACCATTCCTTAAAAGCAACAATGATATCCCAATACAAGCTTTTTTCTGTTCCTAAGTCTAAATGTCCATGATATATTTATTGCATTTCCATCTACCCTACACGCTTTGAAATATAACTTCAGTTATGAAATTATGTAGAATAGATTAATATAAGATTAATCCACATTACATAAGGTATGTTGACCTTGTTCTTTATATTGCATGAAAACTATTTTTCTTAAATACTTTTCTACTGATTTATTTACAAAATACTGAGAATCCACTATTCATGCATAGCTTCAGGCAAATACATGGCAGGAAAAATATATGCTTGAAGTCTTGAATCACAAGTACCCTCAACATCCATACTTTCCCAGTTAAAAGTATGTCAGCAATACAATCTAAATTATATGTTCACTTTCAACCCTCCCCTCTCATACTTACCTTAGGACAAAATTATACTCTTCCAATTACAGGGGCAGTTCAAATCGATACAAAGGTGGGAGAAAACAGATCATTTTTCTTATGGAACTGTTTTCATTAATTTTTCATTAGACCTGCTTCGGTTTTACTATCCATCACTAGCAGAGCTGCTGTGCAGTAGATTACATTTCAGTTATCTTCCATGCTTCCAGGATTTAGTAGATATTGCTTGATAATGCTGCAAGCATTGTGGCTTTAACTTTTAATGATCAATAATGTACCAGGAAAAGTTACAGTACTAAGCCAAAATGATTTTTCACCTGAGTAGGTTCTAGAATAGACTTTGAACATGGATTACATAAACTGCTCATTCACATAGTTTTAAAAATATACTGCATGAAAATTAATTAAGAACTAATGTTAGTTAAGCTTGTTGCTTGATAAACCAGTGAAAGTAGGTTTCTTTAGTCAACAGATCAAGAATGGTTATTTAAAAAAGGATTAAGATAATTATTAAAATATATGGATTCTATTGTCACAACAAAAGCATTATGCTTAGAACATCTTTAGTACACTTAACTTTAAACCAGATAGTTACTAGGTTGTAACTATAGGGCTTAATGTTAACCAAAGTTAACAAAAAGGTTTAATGCAACTGCACATCACATAATCCATTTAATAAAAAATAATGTTAGCTTCATAACTAAGAATATGCATATGAAATATATAGGAGAAAAGAATTACTTGCTTCATTGTTATCAATAATAGTCAATGAAAACACAAAATATTCATTCAAACTAATCTTTGCAAAATACTACCAGATGTCCATTCTCATCAAATAAACTAATTAGCCTCAGCAAACAAATATTGCTGAAAGATATGGCTCACTCCTGAAGGAACCAATAATTAGAATGGCTATATCAATAAACAAGACGGGAAAAACTACCAAAGTCAAGTTAGTTTAATGCTATTGCTAAAATGCTAAACATATGTGAAGTTAAATTAACATAGTGTATAGCTATAAATCATAGGCCGCTGGATCCAAAAACTAGGCCAAGCCAGGCATCTCATAATGAACATTTTCCCCTAGAAAGGCAACACTGCAAAATAAAATCTAGTTATATTTTTATATTATGAAGGAATTCATTTGTTGTCAACTGCAGCTCAAACTAGAGAGACAGCAGTACCCTGGCTTCCATTCCACTCTCCACCCATGATAACATTTTAATTGTAGTTGTCCATTGGTTGGTATTTCCAATCTAACTGGTATTAGATTAAATTTTTATTACTATATGATTCCCCTACTGCAAACAAATGCTCTCTCAATAATTTAGTAATAACTCATAGATCTTAAACCCACTGAAATTATTTTGAGATCTGTATGTTGAGAGGATATAGTTTCTAATCAGACATTGATTTATGATTTTCCCCTTTTGGGGCATGTTATGATGGTCAAATGTCATACAGTACAAATAATTGTATGGAAACCTCAGGAAAACATACAACAGAAATAGGTATCATAAAGATTGTGGGGCTGCTAGCTGGAAAATGGCAACTTAATTTCCCTTCCTTAGATGTCTAACTCAATTTATCCCATGTTTTAACATTAATGTATTTCTCTGACAGTTATAACCAGTAATAAAGAACAGACACAGCAATAGGCCACTGTCATTGTATTTAGAAAAAGAGCTGAGTTTATAGATAGGAAAAGGGAAATTTGCAGAAGACAATTTTTCGGCATCAACTAGGACTAGTTTTTAAATTAGAATTTCTTTATAAATTAGAAATACTAAATTTGGCACTTCAAAATTCTTTAATGCAACACTTAACAATCAATAATTCATGTCTATTGTTATATATGAGCTCAGTTGAAATGAAACAAATGCAAATTAAAATTATAACCCACATAGTTTTAGTTATTTGTTTCACATTTCTGAACCACCCATGACTCTCAGAGAGGGACTCTGTTGCTCTTACCTTTGTACTCATATTTATAACAAAAATGACTGCAGATGTGTCATAATTTTTATATTGAATGTCCATTGTTAAATTGGAAAGTGGTCAGTATGATATAAAAGAAAGGGATCAGCACTATTTTAGGGAAAAATATTTTTTTAAAAAATAAACTGATAAATAAAACAAAAAATATCCAACTTTCCAATATAATTTTGAATTAAAAATACAAGATTGTGAGTCTCAAAGGAAGCAATAGCCTCAGACAGAGAACATGTGATTTAACATCCATTTTTTCTTAGGTGTAGGTAATCAAATCAGTGAGGAAATAGCCAAAGATGACAAGAAACTTTAATGCAAAGTATTGATCTTACCACTGGTGATCCCTTACTCTCACAAGAAATAATAAAGCACTCACATTGAAGTTTGAAATATTTAACTGGCTTGGAGCTTTCTTGGTTTCATTTTCACTGTAAATAAACCTCAGGCTGCAAGAATGTCTGTATTCAGATGCCACTTGTCCAACGGAAGTAATTCCTAACAGAGGATTCTGAAGGACAGGAATGACAGTAATTGGTTTTTAGTTTCTAAAGAAATAATAAAAAAGAACAATGGACAATATTATTGCAGAGTTTAAAAAAATCTACTTCCCTCCCCAATATCAGTTTTAGTTTACCCTCTCTGGCAAACTGGTGATCAAAGACAAACATGTTGATAAAAAAGTACAGAATTTAGGTAAGCATGCTCCTAAATATTCAGTCTACTTGTAAAATTCAAAAGTAGAGTCCATAGCTTAAAGAGCTGTAATTAAGAATCCCTTGAATAGACAAACTCGCATTTGCTCTATTTGATACTTCAGTCATGCTAAATAGGAAGTTGCAATATGTGTAAAACAATTACACTTACTCCTAATTACTATTTGTCCTATCCGCTGGACAAAAATCAGTGAGGTCTAGCTTACTTCTAGAGCTTTAAAATTAATATTAAAAATTATATCCTCTTCATCTGTCTGCTTTCAACTTTGATTTCTTTTGTATCTGCATCAAGCACTTGGGAGCATTTCTCAGTGAATGGTTCTATGGTATAAACTGCTCTCCCTGAAGGCTGCAGCTATTTTGTATCTTTTGGTATTATGTGTTTTCTTGCTTTATATACCAGTTTTGGAAACAGCTTGTTAACCCTTGCAGTTAAGAGTTATCAAATAAGAAACAAATCTCTACAAATTTTATTGATTAGACTCATTTTTGAGACATGTCAAAATGTCTATGTTAGACAATGGGTGGTCTAAGTATGCTTTAAAGAAATAATCAGATTAAACATCAGAGAACTACAAAAAAGTATTTGTACTAGTTAAAATGCATTCAAAATCAGTATAAGCAACAATGATCAATTTGCCTTCAGAAATCTATTTCATTCACAACTCCAGCCACATTATTTTGAAGAAATCATATTGTATGCTTTTTCCAGTATATATTCCCAACAGACCCTTTGGTACCACTTAAATCATGTTGAAAGAATACAAAATCTTGGCAGCTGATGTTCCATTTTTTATGAGTTACAGCAATATATAGCATCCACTGATGAAATAAAATGTAGCTAAATTATAACCACCATGTATTTCAGAAATTATTACCTTGTAAAAAGAGAGCTGCTCATTTTTTCTTAAATATATTTATTGCTCTTATCTACCAATCTGATTTAACAAATGACATTTAACAGACTGTTCAAGATTCTGCTCTCTTTGTATACAGCTAATCAGTCTTACCAAGAAGTCTACATTTTGTTACCCCTGCATCATGTTTTATTCAGCTCATAACCTCAGATTCCATGACTGACCTAGAGTACAATCTCATCGACATTCCAGTCTTCCACAATCTGTAATTCAATTCATGTAACATTCAATGAAGAAATGTTTATCCGACTAATAAAAGAATTAGAAAGGAACATGATACAATGTCTATTTCAGACAACTGAACAAGAACGAATTGCCAACAAAGATTCCATATCCCATCAAACACAAAAATCACAGTAATTTGAGCTGTAGCATTTGTAAATGGGAAGAACAACTTTCAGCAACACATATGTGCTGTCATTTTTCTATCCAATCTCCTACCCAGTTTTTTAACCACGTAAAGCCTATTGGTTCTTATGAAGTACAGTGTGCTACATATAGAACAAAATAATATTACCCCACCATCTGATTCTTAAAATTCAGTGTCTGGACCATCTACTTTAAAAATTGAGGGGTAATGGAATGTCTATTGGTTCTTATGAAGTACAGTGTGCTACATATAGAACATTACCCCACCATCTGATTCTTAAAATTCAGTATCTGGACCATTCTACTTTTAAAATGGAGGGGTATTATATGATATTAAATGTAAGTACAGATAGTGTTGTTGAATTTTATTTTTCTTATACATTTGTAGATTTTTCTACTGATTAAGATTAAAAAGGAATATTTTTCCAACTTTTCTGTTCCTTCCATTTTACCATAGTGCAAAATAAGATAAAAATGCACATCTATTAAGACTAATTCCCATTAAAAAATAAGCATATAACAATAATCCAAATACAGCAATGCAATATTACTGCTATTGTCCAGATTTGGGAACACAAATTCAGTATACCTTCTCATGAAACTGTATGTTAATATTATTGTCATCCATCATTTTTACCTTAACTGTTTATGATACATATGCCATTGGATAAATGAGGTTATATTAATTTTACAAGTTTACATTTCTGAAATAGCACAAGATTGCTTTTGTCCATTATCATATTTTAGGGATTTATTCTTTCAATTGCGGTATGTAATTAGGTTATTTCACATTTTTTAAAAACCCTCTCTGGTAATGCTTTTAGCTTTCACTGATTACAGCTATATCAGACGGATTTCTTTTCCACTTGAAATTCTGAATTCAAACTTTTCCCAATAAAGTATCACCAAAAAGAGCAGAAGTCTTAATAGTGTTAGATTGTATATAGAAAGATTCTTTATGGGGAAGAATACTGTAACAGCTGAGAGTAGGCAAGGAAACCATCATTTTCTCAACAGTTTGGGGCTTCTGTAGTGTAACTTGCAATCTCTTCTGAGAGTAGGCCAAACCCACTTAGTTAATATTACTTGGACAAAAAAGGGGGAACTATGTTGGTTCTTGAAAAGAGGATCTTTAAAACATGTAACATAAAAGTCTTATTAAGACCAACTTAAACAATGCACTATTTTTTTTATTTTTACAGATTTAGTCACGCTCCTATTTTTCCATTTTTTTTTTAAAAAAAGACATTCAATTTTTCCAAACTTCACATTAAAAAATAGGTAAAGAAAAAAAAGATAATAAAATAAGGGAAATCCCAGCTGCAATATATCCCCATATTATAATGCAGTACATATTTTGCCTACTAATAAGTTTTCTCAGTAATTTTTCTACCCATATTGGGAAAAAAGAACCAACAACCAATAAAATTCTTATGGGTCCTGATAATATGGCATTTCCTATTTTAATAAAAGTATAGATTAAACATAGATGACTTCAGATACTAAAGTAACAAAATAATGCATTATTTCCTTTGAGTTAAACTTGACTCCTAGTAACTTCATGAACACGTCCACATTATTTTCTTGGCAATAGTATGGAAGAGGTTTACTAATGGCTTCCTTTATTACTGAATTAGTACAAAATGAATGAAGTCTCAATAACTGATATTGATGGTGGTAGGGAAATATCTCTCCTGTTTTAAGAAAGGCAAAACATTTTTGTAAAAAAAAATTGAATATAAGATTTAAGAGGACAAATCTAAAAACACAGATGAAGCTATACCAAGCAGAGGTGTTAGGTAATTCAGAATTACAGAAATAATTCTGTAAATCTCCAATTAATTGCTTTACCAAGTCTTTAAAAAAATTCTATAAAATTCTAGGATTAGCATTGTGATTTTACCATACAGCCACCTTTTCAAACAAGGCTAAAATTAACAAAGAGAAAGTAGCACTATAAGGTGCAACAGATTTTCTTTTGCTACAATGAGGATACCACTTTTTTTTTTACTAACTTCTTCATGCCTTCATATTTTTTTCCAAATTGAATTCATCATTGTTTACAGTGCAATTCTATATGTATCTCATGAGATCAGTAAGACTGAGTCTCAAGATAAGTGTGTATCGCATTGCAGCTTGTAAATGCATAAAACGCAGTGAGTTAAAATTATTTTTTAAAAAAATATCTTGTTGTTTAATGCTGATTTTAATAGTACCTTTTCAGTGAATTTATTGTACTTCATTTATTATCAAGTTAAAAAAAACACTTTTGAATTCATTAGATTCAAACAAGGGCCACTCTACTACATAATAATAAATTCTAGATCCTTTTTAGAAAGAGAGGAAAATGTTCACATCTGTCAGGTGGGCAGAAGTGTATGACTTCTGTACAAGCTACATTGTAAATCCTTGTTTATGACCTTTTCTTTTGCAATGGAATTCTGGAATTCTTCTGGAATTCTGTTCAGTGACTTCCAAAGCAGGCATCTCTGTAAACTTGATTCAAGGTGTATACACTGAAAAGCAGACTGCCATTTAATAATGGAAAACAGAAAATGTTAGCTTCTAGTAATGGCAATGGCTTCTTCACAGTCAATCAGGCCTTACTAAGGCCTAGCAGACTTAATAGCCATCACAGCACCAACCTCACTTACCCATTTTTATTTTCTTTTGCAAACCTAATATTTCACATATACATATTTTACATGTTGAAATTATTACTATTCCAAATGCTCTCATTTGAATACAGGCATGGTCTCTATATTTTATATAAACATGTCTTTATTTAACTTTTCATTCTAAAGCTGTTTGGTGTCCCAACTGCACATGAAAAAGGTTCCCCTGGTGTTGCATAAGAAAAAGTGTCCTTAGTCCAGAGGTTCTTGTTTTATTCGAATGACCGAGGATGAACGAGATGTCCTTCTGAGTTCTCGCTTAAGTACATATTCACTGAATTGGGAAGAGTCCACTCCTCCTCCACACGAGCCAACAATTTCAAATCCTCTTTGTTGCAATCTCTCAAGTACCTACAAAACATAAAAAGTACAAACAGCTGCCTGTGCAAAAAATGTCATTCAGAAATCATAAATTAATCCCAGTTCCACCTTTATTAAAATGTATCTCTGAAATGCTTCTTTACAGCTGATATTCAAAGCATGATACAATAATTATTTATACGATTGGTAATTCTGAATGAATGAATCTTCTGAATTCTAATGGAAAATAAGAAACATAAAGTGATTATGCCATAGCCTTATTTTTAACCAAAGTATCTACATACATCATTTTTAATTTTTTAAAATTAAAAACTAGAATCAAAGAATGAAATCTTATAGAGATAAATGCAATATACCTTAGAACAGTGTTTCTCAACCTTGACAATTTTAAGGCATGTGGACTTTCAACTCCCAGAATTCCACAGCCAGCATTGCTGGCTGTAGAATTCTGGGAGTTGAAGTCCACATGCCTTAAAATTGTCAAGATTGAGAAACACTGCCTTAGAAGAAACACAACTCAAATGAATAGTATCGAGAATACATGGGCTTGGTAACGTTTCTTGTAAAAACATTCTGTTTGGTCAAGCGCTAACCTTGTACAGTGCCCATTTCTGATCAACTCACTTTAAGAAAATTCATGACTAAAACAAGTTAAGAGAAAGATGGTAAGGAAATTAGAAAGTTAAGACCTATAAAGAAAGGTACAAGGAGTCAACTTATTTTCCAAAGGACCAAAAGGCAAGACAAGAAAACAATGGATGGAAATTAATCAAGGAGAGAAGCCACCTCAAATTAAGGAGAAACATCCTAACAGTGAAACTATTAACCAGTGGAACAACTTGCCTTCAGAAGTTGTGGGTGCTTCATCACTGGAGATTTTTAAGAAAAAAACTGGATAACCTCCTATCTGAAATGATATAGGGTCTCCTGCTTGAGCAGGAAGTTGAGTTAGAAGACCTCCAAGGTCCCTTCCAGCTCTATTCTGATTGAAAATCAATACTTATAGCCTTGAAAAAGCTACGGACTATGAATACTTGAAAAAACACCAGGACCTGTTTGTTTCTCTTGTTCTCGAGTACAAGACATGAAATACTTTATTTAAGTTTCAAGAAACATGATTCTGATTTACTGTATAGTTAAAAAACAAGAAAGCATTTTAACGTGAAATTATTCAGATGATAAGCTCTTCATTGAGTATGTTCGAGAGGTTATACGTCCATCTGTTTGTAGATTTTATTTTAATTATTGCATTGAGCAATAGGTTACATTTCATGTTATAAATGGCCCTTAACAACTTCATTATACTGTTTCACCCATTTATTTATGCATAAAGTACTGTATTTTAATTATATTGTATAAGCTTAAAGAGGGCAAAAGAATAAATAAAAAAATAAAGATACAAAAGGCAAGATGAAAGGGGAATTTTGGTAATACATCCTCCTGTACTTCTGATTATCTTTGTCTACAACTACCTAGATATTTATGCTCTATTTTTAATATTTAATATTAAAACATAGAAGATTTTTGTTTCTCCCTGTTTAGGTGTTTTCATCTGTTGTTTTTAATTAATCTCAATTCTTTTCATACAAACAACATTCCAAATGTCTAAATCTGCCTTGCTCTGTAATGTGTCATATGTCAGATATAAGAGCTATTCCTGCTTAAATCTGGTTAAACTACGTTATGAATATAGATTAAAAGGAAAAAAAGAAAAAAAGCTAATACATTGATTACATACCTGAACTGAATTGAGGTGACAATATCCATTTAATGGAAATCTGATGACATGCGTTGAGTCATGATTCCAACCTGCATTAACTGAATTGCACATCACGTCACCAATTTCTGGGAAAACCTCTTCTATTAAAGATTTATCTCCACTTAAAGTAATTCTTTCTCCAAGATCCGGAGCAACACGTACAACCAAGCATTCACAAGATTTCGAAAACCGGCCTGTCTCCCGATCCTGTTTCCATCTTTCCATTTCCCCTAACATGGGCTGAAGCTGAAAATACTTTGCTTCTTCATATAACAAACTGTAATCCTGAAAGATACATGATATTTAGTAACACAGTACAAAACAAAAATTCTCATTACGTAGTATCTGAGCAGGTATTTGCTTCAGTACAGTAGGCTGAGGGCCAACAGCAGCTTATGGAGAACTGTACATTAATATATGCTAAATTTTTGGATTGCTAACGAAGAGTTAAAGGGAGACTGGTATAGCTATTTCGAGCTAATTAGCTCTAATCAGCCAGCCATACCCTTCTGAGATTCGAACCTGGGTTGCTTGCACGTTAGGCAGTTGTGTTGACCCCTAGGCCACAGGTTCTTTCTCACTTTGTCAGCTGTATCAGGGAGGGAAGAGACAGGGGAGGAAATATGTCTTGATTGTTTATTTGATGCACTCTGTCGGCCCAAATGTGGGAAGCAGAAATCTTTTGCCTGTATCAGCCCAATCTAGGGCTATCCACAGGCAGCAGTCATACATCATTTATACGTTAAACTTTTGGATTGCTAACAAAGAGTTAAAGGGAGACTGGTATAGCTATTTTGAGCTAATTAGATTTCTTCTTCCCATGTTTGGGCCAACAGGGTGCATCAAAAAAACACTCAAGACACACACACACACACACACACACACACACACACTTACTTAGTATGTTATTACTCACTACACTATGTTACATTATTTACACATATACATTTCCATATTTTATTGTGATTTATCTCATAGAGATATATTTTATCTTTACATTTAATCATATGAAGAGAAAGAAAATATTGGAGATATTGGAGTGAAGAATCTACCCCAAGGGTCCCCAACCAGGGGCAGCAGCCTACTTTACTGGGCCGTGGGCTATGTGAGTGGCTTGCCGGAGTGTGCATGCAATTCAACTTGTGTGAGCAGCAGGCTGGTGGGCACATGCGCGCATGTATACTGGCCCGCCACTAATGGAATTCAAGCGCTCACACGACTCAGTTCCCTTTCCCCCCCCCAGCTGAGCCACCAAGCCGCAAAGGTTGGGGACCGCTGGTCTACACAGTAGGATGATGCCATTAATTACTACTGGAGTTATTTTTACACATTTTCCATACAGCTCTGTTCATAATGCGTGTACACCGCTTAGAGAGTGCTTGCACTTAAAGTGGTATATAAGTCTCATAAATAAATAAATAAATAAATATACACAAAAAAGAATCACGTGTGAGATGTTATTAATAAATATTAATAAAAATTGACATACAATTATTCTGTAGTTTAGATCCTCAAGAAATATGCGAAACCTTAGAGATATATTGTGAACAGCAAGATTGTGAGACTCATTTTGAAAGCATTAAAATGAAATGTATTCATTGCTAATAGCTGATATAAATTGGTTAAGAAATAAAGTATAGTTGAGGATCATACATTCCCTAGATGGCTTGTTTTTGTCTCAGTAAATATTTTTCTGTATATGGTATGTAATGTAGTGTGATACTCTAAGTAAGCTATTCACAAACAAACTTAAATGTCCTAACTAGAAATAAAGCTAAATGATATTTTTAAAAATCTGATGGTGAAGATTAACAATAAATTACTAATTAAGGAGAACCAGTTTGGTATAGTAGTTAAGGCACCAGGCTAGAAAACAGGACATTTTGAGTTTTAGTCCCATCCTAGGCACAAAGCCACCTGGGTGATCTTCAGCCAATACATACATTCTGAACCCTAGGAAGGAAATTATTCACTTCTGAAAATCTTGGCAAGAAAATTGCAGGGACTAATCCAGGTTAAAGCCAAGAGTCATTTTTTTTTCCACCTCTGTGTTTAAGAAGATGCTGGATAGTTAAATTTAATTAAAAATAATCAAATGAAATATTGAGTTTAGGATTGGATTTGATAGCCAAAACAATCTCTTTAACTCTAGGATTTTAAGTCTAAATTTGTGATTTTTCCATCTTTGGAAGAACTTTAATTTAGAACACTTAGTCATGTAGTTCCTTCAGATTAGATTCAGAATCAGAACAGACTTCAGATCAGATTATTCTTACTCAGTCACAGGATTGTTGTGAACTATGGAAGGGAAAAGAATATCATATACGAATTGCACTGCCTGAAGAAAAGTTGGGTATATATGCACATATCTATGATTCCCTGAATCATGTTATAATATTGATTCAAATACAGTAGGTCACATTAATAAGCAAACCACAGATATGGTTTAAATAAAGCATTTGTATTAAAATTGGATTACATGAAATGTAAATCCATAAAAGGTCTAGTGGTTCACATCAAAGACTCATTATACTCTGCAGTTTGTTTCCAATAATAACCCCAAGAAGACCGCAAAGTGATTGTCCACCAGAAGTTGGTATTCAGAAAACATGGTTTGGCAAAAGATAATCAGGCTGCATCTTCTTCAGCCTTTCCTCCTCCACTGCCAATGTTCCAGTGCTGCAGCACCCTTGCCCCTCAATGCTATTAGCACCCTTGCCTTCCTTTGCTTTTCCTTTCCTCTCCTCAGATGCCAATATCCTGGATTTTTTTTCCACTACCTTCAACTGAATGTGCCCCCAAAGAAGCAATCCCATCTTGTTCTACATACAAAGAAAAACAGCCCATTAAGTTTCATTAAGGGCAGATCAAGACATCTGAAACAGGCATGTTTGGGTTGAGGCATAGCTACCCAAAGGCAGTATACATTTGGCATAACCATACTTTTAAAATTAGAAGTTGAATATTGCTTTGATAATTTCAAATATTCATTTTATTGATCTATACTTTACCAAAACTAAACAAAGCAATTATTCCCCAAGTGTTTTACAATTGTTTACTAGTGTTACTCAAACAATTGCTTCATTATTCTTCTGTTGTTATGAAGAAGATGACAATAAATACAATTCACCTTGAAATCATCCGGTATGAGTAACTTTGAAGTTCGTAGAAAATTCAAAATATATCTGAACATTTGGCCATCTCTGTCGATGAAGTAGTGCTGCTTCAGGCTATCCAAAACAATGGGCTCTGTGCCATCAAATAGCCTTCCAATTCTGAAAATAAAACAGAAATCAAGACCCGCATAAATTTACCATCAGCACACATAGCCATTAGTAAGAAATAAATCCTATTATACTAATGGTTTGATTTCATAGTGTTGCAATGTCTAATCAGCTGGTTACAATGAAAACAGAGCAACAAGGGTATCATCTCTCTTTTTATAGTTTCTTAAAGCTGGTCTGGGAATAAACCAATTGAGTTAAGTGGGGGTTTTGTTTGGGGAAATATATATAGGATTGTACAATAAAACATTTGCTATTAGTCGATGAAGACCTATCAATTTTAAGGACCCTTAACCATTTCTTTTAGTTAAAATATATTGCAACATTCAGGACAGATATTACAATAGTCTTCTCTGCATCTAAATAATCCAAAATTTAATTCCTGAAATTATTTTTGTTATACTCAAAATGTTTACTTTTGCATTCTTAAAATTTGACAAAAAACTTCAAATTAATCAAAGGCTTTTAAGTAAATGATTATAAGAAGATGGTTTTTTTAATGGATCACTAACTGCTAGCAAAGAATAGGAATAAATCCGGGGGGGGGGGGTTGAAATCTACCTATAAGATTGCTAGGAGCAACCATGAGCTGTGATGACACACTGGTCAGAATGCAGTACTGCAGGCTAACTCTGCTCACATTGCCAGGAGTTTGAGTCCTTCAATCCTGATCGGCTCAGCCTTCCATCCTTCCGAGGTTGGTAAAATGAGGACGCAGATTCTTAGAGGCAATATGCTGAATCTGTAAACCGCTTAGAGCAGTGGTTCTCAACCTTTTTAATGCCGCGACCCCTAACCGGTCGTAAGTGAGGACTACTCAACCGGTCGTAAGTCGAGGACTACTCAATCAGTCGTAAGTCAAGGACTACTCAACTGGTGCAGCACCGTTTGCAGAATGGGACTTTTGGCGGGCTCAGCAGGGCAGAGGCAGCCTGGACAATTCCTATTGGCTTTTGAAAGCCAATAGAATTAGACTCTATTCAAGAGAGTCTATTCTATTGGCTTTCAAAAGCCAATAGAATAAAAGGGAGTAGCACAGCTAAGGAAAAGGGGGAAAAAATGGCGGACTGCATTGGCGACCTCCATGAAATGGGGTCCCGACCCACAGGTTGAGAACCACTGGCTTAGTGGCTGTAAAGCACTATGAAGCGGTTTATGTCTAAGTGCTATTGCTATGAGGCATGGCACATAATCAAGCAATCAAATCTTAGTGGAAAGGAATAAAAACTTGAATCCCCCAATTTATAGCAATTTTAACTTGTTATAAATGTCCTTGACTTGGGGATTAGTCAGTTTGGTCAACTTTGAATGATTTGATACTAATATTCAGGATGCTAAAATACAAAAGTAATTATGAAGGTTACCGATATACTGGTGAATGGTTTAGTAAATGGTAAATATAATTCAATTTAAGTAAATATAAAGTGATATACCCTGAGGCAAAAAAAAAAATGTAATTTCACATATAAACTGCCAAGCTCTGATGTAACTGTACTTAACAAATAAATATTTTGGCTTAGTTTATGGTAGCTGTGAAAAAGACAAAATCCCATAATTAGGAATATTAAATATTTTATTATTTTAAATATAATAAATTAAATATTAAATATTTTTAAAAATCAGCATTAGGAAAAGGTTTAAAATTAAAATGTCCTCATAGAAATCTATGGCACATCTGCAACCTTAATACTGTGTAAGTTCTGATTGCCAGATTTGAGAAAAGATGTAACAAAACTAGTAAAAATAAAGACTTTCTGGGGTCCATTTTCTATTATGCCTAGCTAATCAGGTATAGAAACATTTGTTGTTAGTTGCAAAGTCGTGTCCGACCCATTGTGACCCCATGGATGTTCCTCCAGGCCTTCCTGTCTTCTACCATCTTCTGGAGTCCATTTAAGTTTACACCTACTGCTTCAGTGACTCAATCCAGCCACTTCATTCTCTGTCGTCCCTTTCTTCTATTGGCCTCAATCTTTCCTAGCATTAGACTCTTCTCCAGTGAGTCCTTCCTTCTCATTAGGTGGCCAAAGTACTTGAGTTTCAACTTCAGGATCTGGCCTTCTAAAGAACAGTCAGCGTTGATCTCCTCTAGGACTGACCAGTTTGATCGCCTTGCAGTCCAGGGGACTTGCAGGAGTCTTCTCCAGCACCATAATTCAAAGGCCTCAATTCTTTTGTACTCAGCCTTTCTTATGGTCCAACTTTCACAGCCATACATTGCAACTGAGAAAACCATGGCCTTGACTATACGTACTTTTGTTGGCAGGGTGATGTCCTTGCTTTTTAGTATGTTGTCTAAATTTGCCATAGCTTTCCTCCCCAGGAGCGTCTTTTAATTTCTTGGCTGCAGTCCCCATCTGTGTGATCTTGCAGCCCAGGAAGATAAAATCTGTCACTACCTCCATTTCTTCCCCATCTATTTGCCAGGAATTGAGAGGGCCGGATGCCATGATCTTGGTTTTCTTAATGTTGAGTTTCAGGCCAACTTTTGAACTCTCCTTCTTTACCCGCATCAAGACGCTCTTTAGTTCCTCTTCACTTTCTGCCATTAGAGTGGTATCATCTGCATGTCTTAGGTTGTTGATATTTCTCCTGGAAATCTTAATTCCAACTTTTGATTCATCTAGCCCTGCCTTTCTCATGATGTGCTCTGCTTATAAGTTAAATAGGCAGGCGACAGAATACAGCTTTGCCGGACTCCTTTCCTAATTTTGAACCAATCAGTGATTCCATGTCCAGTTCTAACTGTTGCTTCTTGACCTGCATATAGGTTTCTCAAGAGACAATAAGATGGTCTAGTACTCCCATCTCTTTAAGAACTTGACACAATTTGTTGTGATCCATACAATCAAAGGCTTTAGCATAGTCAATGAAGCAGAAGTAGATGTTTTTCTGGAACTCCGTAGCTTTCTCCATGATCCAGCGTATGTTGGCAATTTGATCTCTAGTTCCTCTGTCTCTTCGAAATCCTGCTTGTACTTCTGGTAGTTCTCGATCCACATACTGCTGGAGTCTACCTTGTAGGATTTTAAGCATAACTTTACTTGCATGTGAAATGAGTGCAATGGTACGATAGTTTGAACATTCTTTGGCATTGCCTTTCTTTGGAATTGGAATGTAAACTGACCTTTTCCAATCCTACGGCCACTGTTGAGTTTTCCAAACTTGCTGGCAAATTGAGTGTAGCACTTTTACTGCATCATCTTTTAAGATTTTGAATAGCTTAGCTGGAATACTGTCACCTCCACTAGCTTTGTTGTTGCTCAGCTTTCCTAAGGCCCATTTCACTTCGCATTCTAGGATGTCTGGCTCGAAGTCAGTGACCACCCCACTGTGGTTATCAGGGACATTAAGCTCGTTCTTGTATAGTTCTTCTGTGTAATTTTGCCACCTCTTCTTAATCTCTTCTGCCTCTGTTAGGTCCCTGCCATTTTGGTCCTTTATCATGGCCCTCTTTACATGAAACGTTCCCTTCATATCTCCAATTTTCTTGAAGAGATCTCTGGTTCTCTCTATTCTATTGTTTTCTTCTATTTCTTTGCACTGTCATTTAAGAGGGCATTCTTATCTCTTCTAGGGGACACATTTTCCTGTGCTAAAGGATTTTTATCCTCCCATACCCAGAACCACCAATGACAGCTGCTTTATAAGAAAATATTTAAAAATACGTTAGAACAATTTAGCCTAATTTAAAGATCACCGCCTTCTTTATACTTTGTTATTTTAAAAGCATGTAATATAATTCAAAGAAATTGACTGCCATGAATTATTACTTATTTACAAAATTAATTAAAAAACCAAACTGTTGATGTTATTCCCTGCTGTGTTCTCTAACATCAAGGATAGATTATCTGTCTTTTTGCTAGGTATATGAACCCATTTATAAATACAAATAGTCCTCCATCATTTTTTTCCTCCAGTAATGGCTAGGGTGCCTATGTGAAACCTAAGAGAATTCTTGGAAGAAAAGATAATTCTCAATCTGGTGATCTGCAGCATATCGCTGTAATACATTTTATTTTTTTTAATTATATATTTGGAAAAAGAGTGAAATGGGAGAATGTACAGGCATCTTAAAAAGTGTAAGTTCAGTAGCATCCTTCTGCATGTGGAATGCCATCTGAACTCAGAATATAACATTTTGGGCAAAAATAAAATGTATGATTCTATTTGTTTTCTATAAATATCAAACATTTTTTAAAAAAGGTCATATATCATGCCTGCTGCTTCTCTTATTACCCGCTGCCCTACCTTTAGAACATAACATTATTCAATGTTCTGACCCGTGTATGTGCTTCTTTGGGCATTTTCTATGTATATTTCTCATTTAGGTCATTTTCAGTAGTCATCAACTAAAGTAAGGAGAAGTAGCGGAAAATATAAAGTGAATGACTGTATTTTCAAACCATCTGTCTTTACTTTGTGGAATCACTGACTTTCTATTGAACTTCCTGAACATCTATTTTGATTTTCATGCTATAAAGGGTGCAAGTAGAAAGTACTAAATGGTAAGTAGAATAGATTTTATTTAAAAGGTCCAATTTCATTATTTAAAATACAATACTAACTAACTACTACTAATCCTAGTAAAAGTGCTTTTTTGATATGATTAACAAAAATCAATTTACTTCTTTTCATTTCATTTTAAAAGGCAGTTACTGAACACATAAGAACTCTAGTATGTGACCATGATAAACTCTATCTATTGTACAATATAGGAAAATTTGTTTTAGTTTTTTAAAATGAATTTGAAGTCAACATTAGATTGACTTCGGTGTATATTTGTTACGTAGATATACTGTATATTACTGTTGGTCATAGAGGTTGTTATATGAGAAATCATGTAACTGCTCTGATTAATGACTACAGCCCCAACACTCACAGTTGTGGTCACACAGGTTAAATGGATGGAGTCCCAGATAAGGAGCAGGGGGGTTCCTTAGGGGAGTTGGGGAAGACCCTGAGAGGCTCAGTTCAGGAGCTGAAAATAC